TGTTATTAATAAACACATAGCAGCTTTATCAGAAGTTCACTTAATTTAATTACCTAAAAAATGGAACTCGAAAGTAGACAACAATATATGATAGAAAAACAAAACGAACTAAAAGAAAAACTAAAACAATTTAACAAATGTAGAAAAACATGGAGTGGAATCGATTCTGTTTTCAAAACATTAAGTACAGTTTTAACAGTAGGGATAACGGTGGCAACAGCCGTAACCGGTGGATTAATACTTCCAATAATTGTCCCAACTGTATTAGCCGCGTTCACTGCCGTTCAAACTTCATCTTGTGGTTTGATTACTTTAGGTTTTATATCAAAAAAAGAAAGCTCATTATAAAAGGAAAACAGAAATTTTAAATACATATCTTAATAAATTATTCATTTTTTTCGAAAGATCGAGAGAAGACAAGAACATAACAGTTGAAGAATTAGAAAAATTCAATGAAATTTTAGATAAATTTAATGTAGAAATATCATCAATAAAAGTTAAAAATTCCTAGATAGTTGCTTTAAAGATATGAATAAAATTGAAATTTTAGACGATGAAAAATTCATATCAAATAAACTTTTTTCCGATGTTATTAACCTTATCTCTGATGAATTTATAACATTTAAAGGTCAAATTGAAATAAATGGAGAGATAACTCAAGATGGAGGATATAAACAAGGCATGCAATTTGTAGGTTTTAATGCCAAAACTTTTCGCAATTTCTTCGCAACAGTGGATATCAAATCGGATGCTTCTGATTGGTATTTCACAGGAATTATAATTTTTCGTAAAAACAATTTCAAAGAAATAAAAAAAACAAAAAATGGTAGTGGTGTTACCCTACTCAAAAAAATTAATGAATATAGCGGTATAAATTGTTATATACCGAGCGATGGATACTGCTTTGTAAAGTGCGTTAATCGTGTTTTAAACGAAGACTACGCGAGAGATTTGCAAGATTTCATCAACAGTTTTTCAAAATCAAACAGAAAAGGAGTTATGACATCTGCTAGAATCTGCGAATTCAATAATTTAATACTTATTTTCAAATTTATATGCCCAAACATAGACATTTTCAACCAAAGAAAGTATCCGAAGAATTAGATTGGGTATTTTATTTACACAAAGAACATTTCTGTTTGATAAGAAGAAATAACAAAACCTTAGGCATTAAAGAAATAGAAGATAATTACGATGAAAATGTATGGAGATGATAATGCGGTAACGCAAGTTTCACCTCTAAAACTAAACGTTTTTCCAACCATTCCCGATGATTGTTTATACGCATGGGATTGCGAAACCTATAACGAAAATAAAGCCATACCTTATTCTTGCACGTTAATTAATTTAGAAAATTAAGTAAAATGTTAAACAGAATAAATAATCTCTTTCCAGATTTAAAGCCCACAGATCCCATTCCAGAAGAATTTTACAACAAACTCATGACTAATATAGTAGAAATATTTGTAGGTACAGATTGCATCGATCAAATGTTACAACGTTTAGGAAAAACAGATAAAAAAATAACATTAATTGCTCATAACGCTAACGGTTTGATAACTGGATCATGATCAAAAACGTAAAAAAAACTAACACAATGTCCTTTAAAAACGCCCAGAAGAATTCTGTCTCTACCTTAACTAATTCATTCACCGATAAAGATTTACAGAAAAAATGGAAAAGACAAAAAGAAATAAAGGGTAACTGTAATTATTTGCAAAATATTAATTTCATATGTTCCTATCAACATGAATCATCTAGTTTGGCAGCATGGGGAAATTCATCTAATCTACCAATGAATAACCATTCCTCGACACTTGAAAAAGGATAATATTTCGAAAACCGGTTCGTGTCAATTGCGTAGTTTTTTGTTTTACTTGTTATAATTTTTCACAACATTGTTAGCGTTATTTATCACCTAAATATATATTTTTGCATTTTTCATCATAACTTTCATCTTACTTTATATATCCCCAAACCCATTTTGACTTATTTGCATAATTTGATCCCCACATTTTCACGCTAGCATATACAGTTTCCTCCTGTTACATCCGCTGTACATTTCCTTTCTAACCTCAAGTTATTTTCATTATGCTCCCCAACTACAACAACCACTGGCAAGAAGCCAGACATAGAAACACTAATCGTCAACCAAACCAATATCACGTACCCTACAACGGCCCTGTCGACCTCTACCGACCACCAACCAACCCATCCAGCTATATCCCACCCCATCGCCGACCTACTTACAACACAGCCTACCAATCAAGAGGTAACCATCGACCTGACCAACAACGGAAACGACTACCAGCCCACCGACGCCAACCAGTCCCCACTCATAAGGAGGAAGAACCCTTTGTGAAGGTGTTCTTCCAAGTTTTGCAATGCCTTTGACAATCCTTACCCTTCAACAGCAAGGCCAACCAGCGTTTACCTTCAAACGCAAAGTCTATGAGTTGGATAGTTTTATCCGTCCAGCAATGAAAACATCAGCTGTTGACGCGAATATTAGATCCCTCAGTCCAGTATCAACAGCGCAACAATCTTACCACCCTACGAAGAAGAATTCGAACCAGTTGATAATCTTCATTGGTCTCCAGAAACAGCAAACAGCATTTATTTGTTTTGGATACACCAGCTTCAAGCATCGAGTAAGTCTTTAAACTAATTACTGGGGATAAAAATACTGAGAGGCCACCGCTAGGCCAAACTGTAGTTAACTTGAACCACAAAATTCTCACACACCTTCAGCATTCAATCTTAGACCGTGGACTTAAATTTATTCCCACACCAAAGATAGCTAACTTGAATTATCTCCGACCATCCATTGAACGATTTCAACGAAATCTTAGCTGCACATATTTTTTTCGAAACCACCCCCCACGTGGTGCTAGAACAATGTTTATTCCGAAATCCACGTGGACCCCCCTCAGGCCGCCATCCATCCTGAAATATTGAAAGCATTTGCGAGTATGAATAGCCAAACTGTGAACCTTTCCATAACACACGAAAAGCCTAATCTCACACGAGTGGAGCGTGAAGCGTTAAACGTACTTAAGAAAGACGATAGCATTGTTATTAAAAAGAGTGACAAAGGTTCATGTTGTGTCATTCTTAATAGGGAGGATTACGTTTCAGAAGCAGAGAATCAACTGAATAATCCTAAACATTATGCCATTTTACCGAAACCAATTTTCAAAGAAACTGCTAACATGATTAACAATATTCTTGCCGATTTAGTCAAAACTAGTTATCTCAAACAGAAACAATATGACTATCTATCTGCCAAACCTGATTGTCGCGAGAGACATTTGTACACTTTGCTTAAAATCCATAAGAATCCAACCAAGGAGTGGTTTATCTCGAATAAAATCCCTAAAGGCCGCCCGATTATATCTGACTGTGGTAGTGAGTCATATGCAGTGTCAGAATACATACAGAATACATTTCTTACTACCTCTAGCATGTCAACATCGCGCCTACCTTAAAGACACAACCGATTTTGTCAATAAAATAAAAAATCTTAGAGTTCCCTCTAATACTATTTTAATTTCTATCGACGTTTCTTCTATGTATACCAATATCGATAACACTTCTGGTTTAACGGCAGTTCGTAAAGCTTTTAATAGAAACCCAGATCCAAACAGACCCGACGATGCAATTCTACAGCTTTTAGAGATTTGTCTTAGTCGAAACGATTTCACATTTAATGGTAAAACATATTTACAAACTTCAAGGCAGCAATGGGCAAACGATTCCCACCCTTCGCACGCAAACCTGTTCATGGCAGAGTGGGAACGTGAGGTGTTGCCCCTCTGTCCATTTGACCCACTTTTTTACGGACGCTTTTTGGATGACATTTTTATGGTTTGGGAATTCTTTGAAATTCTCAACAACCACCATCCTTCTATCAAACTAACCGCAAACGTGAGTGACAAAAGCATAGACTTTCTCGATACCACAGTCTTTAAGGGAGATTCCATAGCAGAAACAAATAAACTGGATATTAAAGTGTATTTCAAAGAAACAGATACTCATCAACTCTTGCACAAGAGCTCCTTTCACCCAAAAGATTCCTTTTCTGGTATAATTAAGTCACAAGTACCTCCAGGTTTAAGAAGTGCTCCATGTTTGTCCAGTAGATGCAAAACATGTCCCTTTATATCAGAAACTTATTATTTTGTAAGCAACTCTACGAATAAAAGGTACCCGATCCAGGAACATCTAACATGTGAACATTCGAATGTAATATATTTAATTTCATGCAAGAAATGCCCCAAACAATATGTAGGAGAAACTAAGAATAATTTACGAACTCGCTTTAATGCTCATAGGTCAGACATCAAATTAAAGAAAGACAAGCCTGTTTCTAATCATTTCAACCTCGACGACCATTCAATAGAGGATCTCGCCCTAATCCCAATTGAGCGTTTAGAAATTGACTTGCCCGAAGATGAAACTACCAAATTCCGTCAATCTAGGGAAGCCCATTGGATTGAGACATTGAATACAGCAAGACCTATAGGACTAAATATTCATCATAATGTAGGCATAGCACCTTTTGTTGTCCCGTTTAATACAACCAGCAATCGAGCAAGCAAGATAGTTCATGCCCACTATAAGAGCCTTCAAGAGAAATTCCCCCATGTCTATAAGCAGAAAATGATAGTTGCATATTCAAAATATAAGAACTTAAATGATAATATTGTTCATAGTAAACTAAAAACAATCAGTACATTACAGATACTATACTTCTCGCCCATCGGGCGAGTTATATTTTCTAATTTCAGATCAGAATAAGAACAGAAGAAAACCCAATATCAAGACCCTTAATCCTAATTTCTAAATAAAGTGTCTGCTCCACCCTAGGCCTGTACATTTGGGAGAATCAAACCCTCCCTTCCCAGAAATCTAATTATTTGCAAAATATTAATTTCATATGTTCCTATCAACACGAATCATCTAGTTTGGCAGCATGGGGAAATTCATCTAATCTACCAATGAATTTGAGAAAGATTGAGGATGTTAATATTGCAAAATACACTAAAGATAATTGGGAATCTTTAAGACACGAATGGGAACCTTACGCAAAAAGAGAAACGTCATGTCTCGGAGCTTGTGTGATAAAATACAATCAAGCAATGAAAGAAGTTGTATTTCAGAATATTTCCAATAATCTAACGGCTCCTTCTTTATCTTTAAAGGGTTGGTATTATTTATATCATTACGATAAAGAAATGATTGAAGAAGAATGGTATGAAACTACTAGAATGGTTCCGAAACACACCGAAAAAGAAAACGTAGAAAAAGTTTACTCACATACTCACCCTTTTATAAGATATTTCATCAGACAAAGTATTAAAGGAGGAAGAGTTTCGGCAAATCGAAAATCATTTGAAACGAATAAAAGGGATGAAATTTGTAATATATTAAAGGAATACAATGCAAGTGACACTGATAATATAATTGATTTATTCAAAGAATATAGCGCTAGCACGAAAAATAAAACGGAGGTTCATTCGAGACTTAAAAAAATAAAATGTACTAAACTAATGGCATTTGACGCTAACGGTTTATACGCTTCCGCCATGTCGGATTTAGATAGCGAATATCTGAGAGCGGAAAGTGGTAGACCATTTCTACCGGAAGAAAATAAAGAATTTGTCGAGCTCTTTAATGAACAGAAATTCAGACCTAGAACTCCTTTTTTAAAAGTCTGGTTTGAATATCCCAAAAACATGTTCTTCCAACCCATACCAGCTAAAGATATAATCACTTTCACGAATAAAGAAGGTAAAAAGGAAACTGGCACTAAAATCAGATTCAGAAATGGTTTCTGTCACGACGTTTTAACATTGGTTGATATTCAAGAAATAGTGAAAGCCGGTGGACGAAATATTAAAATATTAGATGGTATAGTTTACGAAGAAAATTTTAAAACTCCACCCTATAGAGATTATATTTTAATTTTGAGAGATCTAAGAAATAAATATAAACGAGAAGGTAATATCGTAGGTAGTAATTGCATGAAATTATTAGGCAATTCGTTGTATAGTAAATCTATTCAAAAGGATATAAATACATCGAGACATTTATGGAATGAAGCGACTTTAAAATCCAACTTCGATTCACACGTCAAAAGCTATGAAAAAGTAAATGATAGTCAATATATAGTTGAGATGAATGAAGAAGAAAAAGAATGTATTCCTCCTAAATCTACACGACTAACACCTAGTCATTTGGGATGATTCGTTTTATCTCACAGTAAAAAAATAATGAATAATTTTATTCGCGTGATAGATGGATTTTATAAGCCTGAAATATACTATACGGATACCGATAGTTTATACATTTCGTCTAGCAATTGGGATAAATTAAATGAAGTTGGGTTGGTGTCCGAAAATGATTATTGTAAAGGAAAGAATGATTACGGTGATGGTGGAATTATATTTGGTTTATATTTAGCGCCAAAAGTTAAATACAATATCATTCTAACTTCCGATGGTGTTTTAAAAGAAAAGAAAACGTTTAAGGGTTACTCTAAAGATAAGATATCCGTAGAAGATTATATTCGATTAGCTAGTGGATTCGATGTAACGAATGAATTTAAGAAACCTTGGGTAAAAAGTTTCACCAATGGAGTAGTTATTCCAAAGGATGATGATAAACAAAAGAAAGCTTTTAGATGTAATCTAAATCTCGTTAAGAGAAAAGCATCAAACAGTGAAGGAATCATGTATCCTTACAACGACGGAAAAGAATTGAACATAGATGAAAACTACGAATTTGATGATTTCGATTACCTTACTATTCAAGAAGAGAATGAAGAGTGTTAATTTTTTTGTTTTCAATGAAGTTGAATAACAATTTTCTCGTTACCAAAAAATTTTTACCATCTTTAATTTCCAGATTTATATCTTTAATCATAAAGGAATTAAGTGGTAAATACGTCGTTTGAAATGGTTTCTCTATTATTCTATATCCTGAATGTTGGAAGACTGTAAATAATCTGACGTTTGTATTTATTGAAAAATCCACCGTTTATCAAATTGCAATGTATATTTATGACATCGATATCATTCTCGACATTAGCTTTGTGTGGTGCTAAAGTGGATTGGGTGTATACTCGATTATCAAATCCTAGTAACGTATTCAATGAATTTTCTATGTTGAAATCAACTTCCTCCATATTCAGATAGATATTTGTTAATTGCTATGTATTCGTAGCTTCCTGGTAGTAAACTTATGGTTTTGAACGTAACTCCATTATCTGTTGATATTTTTATTTGGTTATTTTTTTCGTTGATATTTCTAATGGAATTGTAAACATAGAAATACTTTAATCCCAATTCATATTCTTGATTGCGATCGAGTTCGTACTCATAATCTAGAGATAATTTAATGTCTGATTTATTTGAGGTGATGACGAATAGTTGTTCTTTATTTGACATTTTTAATCACGCTTTTATAATCATTTTTATCTATGATACCTTTCTTTAGGAGTCTTTTTAATATACAATTCACTTCATTATATTGTGTGCGATCGATGACCTTCTTTCATTGCCTCTAATATTACTCGTAATCTATTAAGCAATTCTTCGTTGTTGTCGGATAAAAACGTCATACCTTGTCCAGTAGCTATCTCCTCTTCCAATTCGTCTATTTGTTCTGTGATTCATAATCATCTGATTCCTCATCTTCATCATCAACTTCATCATCTTCATCAACTTCATATTCATGAGCAATAAGTTTTTTTATATGTACATCAACGTCATCCAATATTTTTGTTTTGCGCTTAGTCCTTATCATATTCAGAAATTTTAATTATTGTTCTAAATCCTTGCGTTTGGCAATCTTAAAATGCCTGCCATTCATTAAATCTAATAATCCTTCTGTTGTTGTAAATATAAAGTTTTTTGTGTCGATTTCGAATAAAGGGTAAACATTTTTAAATTTTATTCTATATCCATTAAACAATAACCCATCATGATCAACAATTGGTGAAATGCCCTTTGGTAATTTTGGTTTTCGGGGAAGGGAGGGTTTGATTCTCCCAAATGTACAGGCCTAGGGTGGAGCAGACACTTTATTTAGAAATTAGGATTAAGGGTCTTGATATTGGGTTTTCTTCTGTTCTTATTCTGATCTGAAATTAGAAAAAATAACTCGCCCAATGGGCGAGAAGTATAGTATCTGTAATGTACTGATTGTTTTTAGTTTACTATGAACAATATTATCATTTAAGTTCTTTTTTTTTGAATATGCAACTATCATTTTCGGCTTATAGACATGGGGGAATTTCTCTTGAAGGCTCTTATAGTGGGCATGAACTATCTTGCTTGCTCGATTGCTGGTTGTATTAAACGGGACAACAAAGGGTGCTATGCCTACATTATGATGAATATTTAGTCCTATAGGTCTTGCTGTATTCAATGTCTCAATCCAATGGGCCTCCCTAGATTGACGGAATTTGGTAGTTTCATCTTCGGGCAAGTCAATTTCTATACGCTCAATTGGGATTAGGGTGAGATCGTCTATTGAATGGTCGTCGAGGTTGAAATGATTAGAAACAGGCTTGTCTTTCTTTAATTTGATGTCTGACCTATGAGCATTAAAGCGAGTTCGTAAATTATTCTTAGTTTCTCCTACATATTGTTTGGGGCATTTCTTGCATGAAATTAAATATATTACATTCGAATGTTCACATGTTAGATGTTCCTGGATCGGGTACCTTTTATTCGTAGAGTTGCTTACAAAATAATGAGTTTCTGATATAAAGGGACATGTTTTGCATCTACTGGACAAACATGGAGCACTTCTTAAACCTGGAGGTACTTCGGCATAAAGTCTGTTTTTAGCTGCTATCTGTGCTAAGGTGGAATTTTTTATGTTTCGTAAAAATCGTTTAGAGTACCCACGCTCTTTCAGTTTTGAGAAAACAATCGTACAAGCTTGGTTGAAATCAGAAGATCTTGTACAAATTCGATGAAATCGTAAAACTTGTGACTTAATTATACCAGAAAAGGTATGTTTTGGGTGAAAGGAGCTCTTGTGCAAGAGTTGATGAGTATCAGTTTCTTTGAAATACACTTTAATATCCAGTTTATTTGTTTCTGCTATGGAATCTCCCTTAAAGACTGTGGTATCGAGAAAGTCTATGCTTTTGTCACTCACGTTTGCGGTTAGTTTGATAGAAGGATGGTGGTTGTTGAGAATTTCAAAGAATTCCCAATTCAACTAACACAAAAGTTAGTGTTGTTGTAGAATTGCATCGTCGGGTCTGTTTGGATCTGGGTTTCTATCAAAAGCTTTACGAACTGCCATTAAACCAGTAGTGTTATCGATATTGGTATACATAGAAGAAACGTCGATAGAAATTAAAATAGCATTAGAGGGAACTCAAAGATTTTTTTATTTCATTGACAAAATCGGTTGTGTCTTTAAGGTAGGCGCGATGTTGGCATGCTAGAGGTAGTAAGAAATGATCAATGTATTCTGACACTACCACAGTCAGATATAATCGGGCGGCCTTTAGGGATTTTATTTGGAGATAAACCACTCCTTGGTTGAATTTTTATGGATTTTAGGCAAAGTGTACAAATGTCTCTCGCGACAATCAGGTTTGGCAGACAGATAGTCATATTGTTTCTGTTTGAGATAACTAGTTTTGACTAAATCGGCAAGAATATTATTAATCATGTTAGCAGTTTCTGTGAAAATTGGTTTCGGTAAAATGGCAATGTTAAGGATTATTCAGTTGATTCTCTGCTTCTGAAACGAAACGTAACGACACAACATGAACCTTTGTCACTCTTTTTAATAACAATGCTATCGTCTTTCTTAAGTAAGTTTAACGCTTCACGTTCCACTCGTGTGAGATTAGGCTTTTCGTGTGTTCACTGTTTGGCTATTCATACTCGCAAATGCTTTCAATATTTCAGGATGGATGGCGGCCTGAGGGGGTGTCCACGTGGATTTAGGAAAAAACATTGTTCTAGCACCACGTGGGGGGTGGTTTCGAAAAAAATATGTGCAGCTAAGATTTCGTTGAAATCGTTCAATGGATGGTCGGAGATAATTCAAGTTAGCTATCTTTGGTGTGGGAATAAACTTAAGTCTACGGTCTAAGATTGAATGCTGAAGGGGTGTGAGAATTTTGCGGCTCAAGTTAACTACAGTTTGGCCTAGCGGTGGCGTCTCAGTATTTGCAGTGTGTATCCGACGTGATGCAGCGGCGAAAGCTTTAAAATTCATATTGAGATTTTGAGGTGTTAGAAACGATTAAACTGTCTTTAGTGACTAAAGTACAAATTTTCTCATATTAAAGTAATTTTATTAGTTTGAATTATCATTTTATTGCCCAGAACAAAAAATTGGTACTGCCCGGGTTGGGGCCCTGACTGAATACCTTACAATATGAATAACACATGTATATACAATTAATTACACGCTTCTCATTCACTCACTCATTCACAAATTAATCAAATCATCATAAATATGGAAATACCGACAAAAGCGGGAGTATACTAATCTTTGAGGATTATTTTTAATTTTAAAGACTTATAAAGAATATGTTGTAATTCATCTGTAGAGAGAATTTCACATATTATTAACCTTATTTTTTCATCGTTCATCTCAATGTACCTCTTTACTTCTACAATACATCTAGGAAAGCAGGGCTTAGATTTGTTCATATGGTTTTTGTATATTAATTCTTTAACAACTAATAATATATTAACCAGTTCAAAATTTCCACTGTTTTTTCCAAAAAGAATGTCTTCAATGGAAATGAAACTTTCACATACACAAACCTACAAGACAATAAGACAAAATTAATAAAAAATTAAACATTTAACCCAATAATAGTTTCAGGTTACTTTTTGACAATGTGCTCATTCTGACTGTTTGGCAATTGTTTGAGAACTACTTATGAATTAGCCTTAATTTGCTAGGCTTTGATTAGTATTAACAATTTTCCTTTATAACATGTTCTTCCTATTTACAAATATACATTTTCTAAATTTTAATTTTGGTTGACAATATGCTTCTCCCATCCAATTCCAGATCACATGACTTTACATCAAATATAAAGCATTTAAAGTGTGATGAATCCGGAATACAAATCATGTTTAACAAATTATTATTTATAAATTAATGTTTATGATTTCTGATATTATAAGATTTATAAAGACCTTTAGGATAAAAAAAAAGTCCAAACATAAAATTTGAAGCAATCGTCAATCAAAATGTTTTTTTTAGCAATCTTTTCCTAATGTAGCCTCATAGCATACATGTAAATGTATATAATGTTATAACTTACATTACATCAGTTTTTATCAATATTATGGCTGCAAAATGTAAATATTGTACCAATCCAAGTTTTAACAGACAAGATAATCTCTTTTGAATATTGAAAATTGTTTGCATTACATTTATACATCAAAATGCAAATATGGTACCAATCCAAGTTTGAACAGACAGGATAATCTCTTTTGACTATTGAAAATTGTTTGCATAACTTACACCAGTTTTTGTCAGTTTTTGTTTTGTTATTATTCAAAACAGGCAAGGAGTTACAATCATAAGCTTAAAAGGCAGATTGTAAGGAACAATAACCCAAAGAAACATTTTAAGATGGCTGCCTTATTTTCCTTTGAAAAGTCTTTTAACTAAATATATACCCGGTATATTGATTTTTCCATTCAAATTTCTGCTTCTATCTTTTTCCATCTATCTTCTTTATCTTTTCTGACTGCTAACCATACACCCTTAAAAGATTCGTTAATACGAGTTTGGTAATAGTTTTTTCCCTTATCTCATAGATAATATTGATCTGTTTTTTAAGCTCTCTAGGAAGATCAGTACGGACACTTGTTTTGTCATTTGGGGACTTAGATACACAGTAGCTGACCTGTAACACAGAGGTCTTGTCAGACATTTTCACAAAATTCACTATGAGCGTGATAAGTTTTGGATGGTAGGGGATTCTATGTGCATTTGCTATAGTGAGAGTCTCAATAACAGTTTTGTTTAGCTGCAGGTTGAAAAAGAGATAATTATTGATCACCTTTAATACGTTTTCTCCTTTTTCCTGTGAAACTCAATATATAAGTAAATTGTACTTTCGGCTATGGTATTCACCATATCTTGCATCATTTTCCAGTTTGTCGATCTTTGCTTGGAGATTTTGTGTGACTTCCATGGTTGTCTTCAGCTGAGTTTTCAGTTCCTCAAGTCAAGTGACTTTACAATTTCTGTTTTTATAGTGGTGATCTTCTCCTCTGCTATTTCTAGTCGTGAATGTAGTTCAGAGTCTTTCATGTTTTTACGGAGCCCCTTAAGCGCAATTTTAAAAACTTTTTATTATTATTTCGTTTAAACGAATTAATTATTTCGTTAAAACGAATTAATTTTTTCGTCTATTTCGTTTAAACGAAATAATTATTTCGTTTAAACGAATTAATTATTTCGTTTAAACGAATTAATTTTTTCGTCTATTTCGTTTAAACGAAATAATTATTTCGTTTTAACGAAATAAACATAGGGTATTTCGTTGTTTTAACGAAATAATAATTTAAAATAAATATGTTTACAATTGCGCCTTAGGGGCTCCGTTATGTTTTCTTCTAGTCCGTCGATGCGTTTTTCTATTCTGCTATTCATAAGAAGCTCCATAACACTTTCCAAAGTTACTGTGGGTGTTGTGCTTGATGGCTGATCCTTTGCAGAGTCATTATTAGGATTTTTCCCCTCATTAAATCTTGTTTTAGGAGTTTGATTACCAATACCTGTTGCTTTGGTTGTCTTCGTCTTTGAGTTTGGCTTCGGTGTAGTATTGTTGTCAAGGACGCTTTTTTCACCTGCGCCATTTTGGTTTTTCTCCATGTCCAAGTTTTCTGTACCATTACTTCTCAGTAGATAATTTGACATACCTCTCCTCTCTGCTCTGCATTAGCAGCCATCGTAAGCTATGATATTTGTATTATATAGTATATAGATCTATGCGTTGGTAACTTTGATTCGGAGATGATAGGAGAAGCACATTGTCAAATTTCACTGATGATTTGTTTTAACTGGCGAGAGTACGATAAAATCCCGTCATGCCTTGTTCAGTGTTGCCAGATTACCCCCTGTTAGTTTGAATGATATGCCAGTTATTTATGCTGAGTAATAGCACAAAATTTTTTAAAAATATCAATATCCCAAATACATCAAGGGCAATAACTCAAAAACAGTTCATCGAAAAATCGTCAAGATCTCATCACTATAAATATTCACACCAAATTTCATTGAAATCAATTGAAAAATGTAGTCTCTATAGTGTTCACAAACAAATGTTGACGCGTTTTTCTTAAGTCAAGGGCAATAACTCAAAAAACCGTTCATCGAAAAATCCTTTGTTCTAGTCTAATGGTCAACTAAGATCAATCAAAAGAGATATGAACCAAACAAGTTCCGGTAATTACTGTTTTCGGACACCTGTAAAACCGGAAATAAATGTCGGACATCAAAGATCAAAGTATGAATGGTAATCCTATATCAATGACCTTGGACCATGCAAAGGTCAAGGTCATTTATGTTAAAGTTCAAAAATGAAATTTTTTAAGTCAGAACATACTTTTTAAGAAATGTTTTTTTGTTCGGAATTGGATCGTTTACTTCAATATTCAGAATTTTTTAAAATAGATTTTCATGTTCCAACCATGTAAGAAAATTCTTGGCACTTGGCTGCAGTAATTGTCCTATTCGCAATTTTCAAATTGTTATAAAAACGGATGTAAACATAGTACAAGAAAAATGAAGGAACCATGTGATAGATTTGTTCAGGTCAGATAGTCACCGAAGGTCAAGGTTACGAGATATGAGCGTTTAAAGTTTTGAAAATTGCTGTTTACGGAAGCCTGCAAGACCAGAAGTAGATGTCGGAAATCAAAGACCAAAGTATGAATAGAAATTATAGACGGCCATCCATGTTAAACGTCAAAAAAGAAAATTTAGTCAATTGTAAAACCTATTGTTTTTTTTAAAAAGTAAAAAGGTCAAACAGATTTTTCTTTGTCTCGTATTGGCCAAAGTAGTGACCTATTTTCCTGCAAAATATTTTGGGTGACAAATTCATACTTTGCGAGTTATGATAAATTGTAAATGTTTTAGGCAAATGTAAATCTAGCCCGGATGTACCATTCCCAGCCCAATAAAGTTGTATGTCCGTGTTTATGTGTACAATATTATGTTATGTTCAAAATTTCAAGCGTCTAAAAATATTAGATCATGAGATATTCATAGTTTCACCTTAGTGGCAAGAGACTTTACGGCGAATGTCAAATTACGCACAGTCGGCATAAATTTTGCAAATTATAAAAGCGCAATTTTGATCAAAATATCTAGTGTAATAGATGGAAGGAAGAAATAAAGTGCATTACGGATACAAGAGAAATTTTGTCATATGTAAAATAGGTCACGTGACAAAATTGCGATTTTCAAACGGCTGTAAATTCGGAAGTTCACATTGCACAGTAAATGTGAAGATATCATCTGATTGATCTCGTCAGAAGCAACAACTTAAGTTCAGGTCAAAAGTTCATCAAAGGTCAAGGTCACCAGATACGGGCCTTAATTACAGTAAAAATAAGCAAAATCGAAATTCAAAAATCTCCTTCAAGTGTTTGCAATCGATTTAAGATAACATAGACATCAACATCAAACACAACGATTACCCCTTTAGACCTCGTTTTACAAATGTTATTCATATCAATATGACGGCTGACCTGTTTACCTCGGGTAGGATTTCTTTAGTATTATATCTTTGCATGGGCAATTCGAGCTAAAATATCTTCAAAATTCCGGAAGTTGAAATTTTAAGTTAAAAAACGAATAACGTCAAAACCGCAAGTGATATCGAACTTATGAAAATTGAATTTAGTTCGCAATCAAAATATCTACCTGTAAATTTTCAGTTCGATCGAAAAGTTAGAAAAAACTCAAATTAAGTTCAAAAAGTCAGTGACAAAAGTCCAAATTCGAAAACTCTTGAATTGCTAACCTGAAGAACTCAGTTCAAAGCAGTTAACTGAAGAAGTCCGACCAAAATCAGATCAAAATTAGAGCCTTAAATTAAAAATAAAATTAAAAAAGTCATTTACGGTTAGAATAAAGTGCGTCAAATTATATTCACTAATTTAGTTTCATGAGTTTTATAAGGAAATTTTTAAAAGTGACATTTGCAAAACAAAATAGTCTTTTGCAAAACAATTAGTTCCATTTCCTCCCAAGATAACTCGAAGAACAGAAAATAATTTTGGTATGGCTTGTTGTTTTTATTTGATCCCACCAATAAACACTTTTCAGACTCCACGACACATAATTCACAAAAGTGTAGGTGTATTACAATAAGCGGGGGTGTATCACAAAGAGTGGAGATTTATCTACACTTAAAAGGATCAAGAAAATGTATGGGTATAAGCATATGATATTACAAATAGTTTGGTGGTATTTTTCGAAGCTATATCCTCATAGGATGTAATTAAAATTTTAATAATGGTATTTCAGAATTTCAGTGGAATTAATATATTTTTGGAGTGCGTATTGTGTCTATATATAACATACTAGTTCTCATTTAGAATACATAAATTACAAGTCGCTTCTTCGCTTGCTTTTTGCTATGTTGGTCAATCAAAGACCATATTGAGTATCGTATCATTCGATAAGATTTTGACTTTATTGCCGACGTTAATGTTCGGAACTGACAATTGTTAGTTTTCGAAAAAAAGAAACCATGCAGGTGTCATCTCGATTATTTTGTAAAAATAGCTACCAATACATCAATAATTCAAGGATGTTTAGGTGAAAATGAGGACGAACGAATGGTTTTATTGTCTTTGTCTTTGACTTGCTATGAAAACTATGAAAGATTTATTCATTTAGTTTTGATATTGTAAGTATTCAACTTTGATCATAAAAATTGTAATTTGCAATAAAACCCATTCACGTTCACCTTATCTCACATAAAAGTAACTCGTCTAAATATGTCCTCTTGATATTGACCATCGTCAGTTACATTATCAGTCATTCCGTCAAATGATTCACCTAAACCTTCATCTACTTTTTGTCTAACTTCACCTAGATAATGGTTATCTTCAATGTGAGCTTCACTCCTTGATTTTAAACGATCGTTTTCATTAAATGGTGACTTGTTTTTTAACTCAGTAAGTGATCTACTTGATTCCATGTTGTCATTGTCTTTCTCTTCATGTTTTGATGTATGTTCCAGCAATGGTTCCATTGACATCGATCGTTTCATTCTGTCTATGTTAATTCTTGACCTCTTTTTAGACAGCCGTTTTCTATCTGAAACAAAGAGCAGATGGCATAGAATCGTCCTGTTAAAGCCCCCATTGAAGCCTCTTTAAAGGACACTGTTTCCTAATTCAAGACAGAAACAGACTATGCTCAAAATAAACGCTTACTTTTTATTGAGTGTGTAATCTACGCAATATCTGCCTTGGTTACCATTATTGGTATTGTTTTATTTAGCAAAGCAAATAATTGCTATAGCCCAAAATATGTCATACAAAGAACCAGAACAAAAAAGCAACTTATTTACAATCAAAGTTTAATAATTCGAATAAATTTAAATGATAAAATAGAATGAAATAAAAGAAATAGAAATTCAAAGATTACTGATCATTCCAACGCTGAACCTCTAAGCTTTACAGCATCAAAAATGAATATACCTAGGCTTAGAAGTTCAGAGTGGGACTGCAGATTCATTAATTCATTCATTTTTTGCAATGATTGGAATGACCAAAATCGATGGTGAAAGTACTTGCGACGTAATCCAATATATTGAGGACAACACAGGAGAAAGTGAAATCCATCTTCTACATAAATAGAATTACAGCATAACATAATCTTTTATCTCTCGGGGTTTTATTATATCTACCTATTTCAATTTGTAGTTTTAGGTTTCCAATGCGAAATTTACAAATATAAAATTTAAATTTATTGTCTAATTTTGAATTCAAGTAAGATTCAAGTTCGAAATTGGTCTTAATATTTTTTTTTATAAAATCTCAGTTTACTAGATATATTGAGTTGAGAATACCATAACTGAGTGTATTGGTCCTCTACGCGTTTTCTTAATTCACATTCGTTTAGGGAGTGTGGTTCATCTAATAAAAATGAAAATCCACTTTCGTTGAGAAGTAATCTTCTATCAGTGACCCAGTTGTGTTTGCCATTAGCAAAATTGCACAAAATCTCGTATATACCAGAAATAAGAAAATTATTTGAGCAAACAACCTTATTCCAGAATTTAACAATATGGACCTAACGCTGTATATATAAAGGAAAAATTCCGAGTTCACCTAAAACAGCAACTAATGGAGTGGAATTACCTAAATTTAAAATATAACGTATAAAATCATTTTGAATATATTCCAAAGGTTTACCATCCAAAGAACCCCACACTTCGCTGGCATATGACAACACAGAAACTACCAATGATTAAAACAGAAGACATTTGATAGAAATACTTAAGTGGATGGATTTCAGCAAAGGGCCAAGGGCCTTTCTACTCTGAGAAGCACGAACATACTTCCATTTTGGAAAAACAATAAACCTAGATAAATATATTCAGTAACTATTTCAAGACTAACGGAATTGATACTGAATGTATAATTGTTAATTAAACGTCCGCTATGAAATACGATTACTTTGGATTTGTTCACATTGATTTCAAGATTCCAGGTGGCACAATACAATACTTGAAGGGCAGTTGCTGTGTTCGCAAAAAGCAACAGATATACTAAGTTATTACCAATCTTAACAAGGCCGGGATCATTTCTGCAAATGAAGTCATGAAGATCATTGATGAATATTAGGAAAAGTAGAGGCGACAAAGTTTCACCCTGACCAGATAAACTACCAAATTGATTTGAAAGACATCCTTTATACATTAGTAACTACTAGTAATTTTGGCTATCTTCACTTCCGTCTGCTAAGTTTTAATAGCTCATTGCAGGCGAATCAACAAATAAAGAAAATGTGATAAATAAAAGCTATAAGATAGTTTGTCAGGCAAGGTAATATACGCCTACTGGCAGCTTTGATTTCAAATAGAAATATTTGGCAGTACAGTAACAATTACTAGTATGAAATAATCAACTTTATATGGCGATGCTACATGATATTAGCAAGTTTAGTCTGTCAAGACTTGGGCCATCCAGAGTGTTAACAGGCTAAAACTTGAACACGGGCCAAATACTACATATTGTTCAATTCTGCTGATTTTCGATACGGTTCATCCATGGTTATAACAAACACTCATACCAAGTTTAGTCAAAATCCACTAAGAATTGTGCCTTCTAGAGTGTTTAAGGGCTAAAAATTGAACGCGTTTTCAAGGACAAGGGCGATAACTCATACTAATTATTTTTTGATTTTTCTGGTTGTGAATGTGAGAGCAAAAAGTATAAAGTTGATTGTTTAGTTTAAGTTATAAAAAATGCGATTTATATTGTTTGAAACGAATGCCTGTGGTGTATAATTTTCTTGGAAATATTCCAGACTACACAAGTCACTTTTTACAATCAAAGTCAAATAATCCGAATAAATTATAATGATAAAATAGAAATAAAAGAAATAGAAATTAAAAGATTACTGATCAGGTTTTAGTCTCTTTTCTATTTGTCGCGTTTATCCAGTCATAAGGCAACATGGCATGTCGAGATATAAGCTAGAAGATTGGATTTGTGTAGATAGCAGGCATGATAAATCGGTAAACTTTATATTTTATATGTAATGTTATGTATAAGATGTATCTTTTAATGTTTATCACTGTCAAATAAAATGCCATTGCCTATAAGTGTGCATTTTAATCTAAAAATCATATCCTATAAGCTTGTCCTTTTCCCACTGCTCAGTTAGTCACGTGACCTGCAGGTCCATTCCAATGGTCGAGACCAACTGGGCAGACAATAAGGTTTGCAGACAATAACTAAGATCAAGTCCGCAAACGATAGCCAACAGACAATAAGAAACTTGAACTCTTTGAATCATCCTCGCGACGCAACCAATCCACGGCAGCGAACGTAAATTTTCAATAAATAACTGGATATAGGTGTAATTTAACTTCAACAAATCAAGAGAAGCAATGGAAAATGTATATTATCCTTTTATCAAGCAATCACAAGGTAGGTTGATCTTCACAAACCCCCGACTTATTCTTTTCCGCGATTACACAAGCCTAAGCATCATGCCTACAGACCAAATATTAATACATCACGACAAAGGAAAAAAACTTCAAAACCAACCATATTACTGTTTTGCCACTTTTAGACTAGGATAAATATTAAGATAAATAAATATTCTTTAGATTCTACTAGGTATAGTATCTCGGAATTTCTACTTTTAATCCGAATACTCGACCTGAAACACCCCCATAAGGTTAACTTTAAGCAGCTATAAGTCACAACAAAACTACTAATAACACCGTTTTGCTACTTTTAGACTAGGATGGGTATTTTGAAAAATATATTCTTTAGATTCTACTAGGGGTAGTATCTCGAAATTTCTCGACCTGTAAGAGCACTATTAAGCTAATGTTAAGCAGCTATAAGTTATGTTTGTCGATATCAAAAGTACCATTAACCCTTTGAACCCTGAGCACCCCTGGGGGTTCGAGACCATATCCCCGGCCTCCCAAGTGAAAAACGTCAAAATTTACCAAATGTTTATATCACCTCTTGTGTGACTTTTATTGTGGCCATTTGTGTATAAATACATCAGTAATGTCAAAAGAAGGTTTTCATTTATCTCCAGTATTGGATCTTCTCATGCCAGTTACGCCAGCAGGTGGAGCCTTCTCGAATGCACAAATAGCGATGACAATAACCGCACCAAAATGTTGTTTTTGTTCGCTTGAATGGCATATCCTTGGCAGCAGCCTCTGGGTACACACGCTTATACTGATTGTACTTGTAAGAACATACTGCACAAATATTGTTACTAGTAGCTTCATGGGGTCTCTCGGGGTAGTGAAGCCCCACATTTTGCATGCGCTGCGGAACTTCAAGTTCGCGTGATTTGCGTCGTTGAACTAAGCTGCGAAAGTCACCGATCAGTCCGAAACATACCTCATCCACAAAATGTTGAAAAGTGTAATAACTCTTTCCAGGTATATATTTCCAGGTATATAATTTGGTTTATAGAATGATTCGAGTACATAAGCGTTGTAACATGCCCACATGAAAAATTTGACCATCAATCTCCGTGGCCAGCGATAATGGCGTCTCGATTTTGGATTAAAAAGAAGTTAGCTTTAGAATATAGACCTGGTCATTTCTATCACACCCACCCATGTATTGGTTGTAGTCCGCCACTAACTGTGGAATTGGAACAACTGATAAAGTCCCATCTTTGTTTCTCCTGTTCACAGTGGTGCCCATGGTAGGGTCATGACAAGTCGACAGAAAGTGTATGGGTTTCCTGTCCTTCCAAACTGTAGCAACCATATTTTTCTCGACAAAGGTAGTCAGACTTGCCACGATTGGAAATTATATTTTTTTTCACAGCTTCCGGAAAAACTTTCGGTTAGTCAGTACAGTTCCAACAGCGAAAACACCCAAAGTGTGCTGCATGTAATCAAATAATGTGACAGAATTATAGAAACGATCCATGAACACAATATGATTTTTATGTAACACGCCACCGCTAGTAAGAAGACGCACACCACTACCAGTTGATCCAAGTCTGTCTAGATAAAATCCATTACTCCGACCGGTATAGATTTCAGCTTCGAGTAAGTAGCCAAATTCTGAATCACAAAGTAGGAAAGACTTTATTCCCCATTTTATTGGTTTTAATTTGATATATTGCTTTATCGCCAGGCGGTTTTTAGCAGGAATCATGCCTTCATCAAGACTGAGTTGTTGACCTGGACTGTAGTAATGACGGAACTTCGGAAGAATTATCTCCAGCATTGACCTAACTTTGTATATTTTATCAGTTTTGTCCAGTGTAGGGTCTGTTTCATCTACTAGATGAAGGAATGTCCAGACTGATAATATACGATTACGGTCCATGACATCTCTGAATCCTGGTGTGTGTGAAAGAAAGTTTTTACCGGGACCATACCAGTAACATTCATACCTCGGTTTTACTACACCATTTTCCATCTGTAATCTAAGTGCAACAAATGCTTTCATTTCTGGAATGTCAATTTTTCGGTAACGTTTCGCATAATATGCATCAGGTGTAGTTTCCTTAGTATGGTTGTTGGTCTCAGAGCAAAGTAGCTGCCAGAAGTCACCATCTAGAAACAAATCAAGAAAATCTACAGCTGAGCTGTCGGCTGTAATATTTTGGGGAATATTTTTCGGTCCACTCTGTGCACCAGTAAAAGTAGAGTGAACTGCAGTAAATGTTTTTGACCACACTGTGGCTAAAGGGTCCTGGGGTTGTTGAACTCGTCGTCGACCCCGACTTGGTGGCTTAGCTGTGGGTGCAGCTGCTTGTGCTGGATCGGCTGCTTGTACTGGAACAGCTGCTTGTACTGGGACAGCTGCTTGTGCTGGAACGTCATGATCAGAGAAGCTATCATCACTACTGCTACTGTCATGAGCAGGGTTCGGCCTGTGTTTCTGGACCGGCAATCCCGATCTCCAGTAGAACAGTTTTACAGATATCTTGATGTGACAGTACTGATATCGAAATACCCCTTTTGTCTGTAGAGGGGGGTGGGGTTGATGACAGGATACTAACAGATGCATCCCCTCCAGCATTCACAACATTTCTACATCTCCTCCGTTCAAAATTAGCACCAGTACTCGTACTCGTATCCATTTCTCCATCACTGCTGTCCCCTACCCCCTCGTTCTCTGAAGACGATGATGTCAGGTCATCGGATGGGTAATCAGCTGAAAAAGTTAGTTCATCATCCGATCCAGAATCAACAAACCTCAACACTTCCTCAGTAGAAACGCTTCGGTTCACTAAAGATTTCTTCATATTCAAAGGGTTAGTTTTTTTTACGGAAATATCCACCAAAAACTATTTTTTTCTGGTAATTTTTATGTTTTACTGGGGTCCGCCATTTGCAATTTGATACTTATCGCTGATTGGTTGAATTAGACACGTGTCCTTTTGTTTTAATAAAGAGTAAACAAAGCCACGTGTTCAGATCCCGGAATACCGGTCTAACGGTGAGTAGGGAAAGATGCTTCAGACCGGTATACCGGGACAACGTTTTGTCACTTTAAGACAAGTTATATATCACATTTGTCGACATCAAAACTACTATTAACCCAGTTTTGCAACTTTTAGACTAGGATAAAATATATGATAAATGCATATTCGTTAGATTCTACTAGGTGTAGTATCTTGGAATTTCTGCTTTCAATCCGAAAACTCATTTTTATCGAAGAGAGTTTCCTCCCTTAATTTCATTGCCTTTTCAATTCTGCACTAGTTAAGCATTGGTAGAACTTTTTGTGCAAGAAGAATTTACTTTTTCACGGAATCCTTTTTCTTGTTAAGGTTGAGAGAAGTATAGGTGCTCGGGGACACATATTCCCATCCCTTTTTTCTTTTCTTTTTGTCTCAAATTCAGAATTTCATGCTTGTTAGGCCTAGTTGTAGACAGGCTTTTTAGTCATAGAAAGATGAAACGTCGACTCCACATGAAAGACTTTAGAAAAAGATATTTTGAAAAGGGGTCGAAGGCTTGTCCAATACCTATTTGCCATATAATAAGTTTATTCTCATAAAGACAGACATCATTAATTTTGGTAATCCATGTGGTCTGTTCATGTGTGTGCCACTAATTAGGCTATTGCTACGACCTTCATCCCGTCTGTCCACGTGTTACACTGATGATTGCTACGATGCCTTTCCACGTGTTATACCGATGTTCATTTCGTCCTTGACCTTTACCCCGACCGCAACAAATTAACAGTAGCATAAGAGTTACGCCCCCGGAGCGCATCCTACCTTTGTAATCTTCTGGCCACAACAAATTAACAGTAGCACAAGAGTAACGTCCCCGGAGCGCATCCTACCTTCTTAGTAATGTAGTCTATTGCGGGATACAGACCAAAAAAGTAGTAATAATGCGTCGTCAAAGGTAAAATCTCTCTTATGTTTTATTTCCTGAGTTTCAGAATGTCGTCGACAAGTAAATGTTACGGCAGAAGCTACGTTCAAAATCTACAGCACATTCAGAACCTTACACTACTAAAGGGAATACTGTCGTTCGACGTAACAAAGAACCTAACACCAAAGCACCAGCAGAAGTTCTACGGTAGTTTGCCAACCAAATGGTGGGTTGATGTTGAACCTAAATCTCGATCAATTGCGTGAGGTGGTTCAACAAGTCACTAAAGAGCTAGGTTGGTCTACTGACATCCTTAGTATTCAGCCAATTCCAGTTGTTAATCAAACTCCTACTACAGGTAATATATCTGACGTATCTCAAATAGATAGTATTTCGCATGACCTGGATGCTTTTGTACCACAAAACATAATTGATAAAATTCAAAATCGTGAATTCATTGAGTTATCAAGTCTTTTGAATAAGAACCTTCGGTATGTCAAATCGAATATATCTTTTGTTGATGGTATAACTCGTTGTGCAAGATAGAGTACATTTTAAGATAAGGGACTTAAACAGTTGGACAAAGGCTTTCCTAGTGTTCATGAGTATTTATACACCGGTTCATTCTGAGAGTACAGCTGGCCATATCAAGTATCTTTACTCCGTTCGTTTGGGTGCAGAACGTTCACATCATTTAGGTTGGTTACAATACGACGAACAATTTCGTCTCAATAAATCTCAGAACACCCTTATGCCTTGGGGAGTAGTTGATCAAGAATTGTGGCTTTTGTATATGAATTTTAATCCTTTAGGACAGTCATCTGCTAGCTCTGTTAATGCCAAATGCTATGATTATAATTACTCAGGGTCATGTAATAGAACAGGATGTAATTATTTACACAAATGTTTATCTCCAACCATCCATTGAACGATTTCAGCGAAATTTTAGCTGCACATATTTTTTTCGAAACCACTCAACACGTGGTGCTAGAACAATGTTTATTCCTAAATCCACGTGGATACCCCCTCAGGCCGCCATCCATCCTAAAATATTGAAAGCATTTGCGAGTATGAATAGCCAAACAGCGAACCTTTCCATAACACACAAAAAGCATAATCTCAAGCGAGTGAAACGTGAAGCGTTAAATTTACTTGAGAAAGACGATAGCATTGTTATTAAAAAGAGTGACAAAGGTTCATGTTGTGTCATTCTGAATAGGAAGGATTACGTTTCAGAAGCAGAGAATCAACTGAATAATCCTAAACATTATGCCATTTTACCGAAACCAATTTTCAAAGAAACTGCTAACATGGTTAACAATATTCTTGCCGATTTTAGTCAAAACTAGTTATCTCAACAGAAAAAATATGACTATCTGTCTGCCAAACCTGATTGTCGCGAGAGACATTTGTACACTTTGCCTAAAAAATCCATAAGAATGCAACCAAGGAGTGGTTTATCTCGAATAAAATCCCTAAAGGCCACTCGATTATATCTGACTGTGGGTAGTGAGTCATATTCCATTTCATTTCATGGGGAAAATGCGACCAATCTGTAAGCTCCCAAAAAAGACCTAAACACCCTACATTTCTTAAATTCTTAGACTTAAACACCCTACATTTCATAAATTCTTACACCTAAACACCCTACATTCCATCAATTCCCTCCCAAAAAACCTAAACTCCCTTAAATTATTATACCTATACTCCCTAGATTTCTTACACCAAAAACACCTTCAATCAATTCCTTCATTCCATCAAAAAAAGCATATTAAACATACCCCTTATATAAAAAATAACATAACATTTTTAATAGCCTCGTTTTAAATAATGTTATTTTTAGTAGAAGGGAGATAACTCTTGTTTTGGAAACACAATTTCTTCGTTAAATTAACTCATTTAAAAATAGGATGAGTTTAATTCTAAAACACGAACAACACAGATTTGAAGATTATTCGGGCGACGGTATCTTTTCTTTATTATTTTCTCTATGTAAAACAATAATTCCAAAAGTAGCTAGCTTTGTTTCAAACAACAAATCACTCATTTCAACCGAAGCTAAAGCCATCGGCTCAATCGCCCAAGCGGGAAAGAGTATAAGCGACTCAGTGAAACAACCTAACGAGTTAAAACAATTAGAGCTAATAAGAAATCTACGAAACAGGAGATTAGAAGAAAGGAAAGGAAAAGGTTTTAAAGTTATAGGATAAAAATGATAGTCGCTCACGCTCTAAAAACTTATTTTGGTTCAGGAGATATACAAAAATCATTGGGTTCTCTTCCTGGATTTCCATGGGCGAAATATCCCGGAGAAAAACAACTTCCCGGTCATTATTACACCGGTCCAGGTACCAGGTTAGATCTGCGATTAGACGAAAACGATAAACCCAAACCCGGCGAAGAACCACTCCATACAGTTGACGCCACTGCGCTTAAACACGACATACTATACAGAAACAAGGACATAAACTTCACACATGAAGCAGACAGACAAATGATAATCGAACTTGAAAATATTCCAAATCCAACTTTCAAAGAGAGAATGCAAAGGGCTCTGATCATAAAACTGCAAAGATGAAATTAGGCATGGGATTAGCGGATGAAATTCATAAAGAATTTAGAAAAACTAAAAACTTTTTAAAAGTTAAAGTGTTTGAAAAAGATGAAATATGGTCAGCCGATTTAATTCATATGCCAGTCGAAAGAGGATTTAAATATTGCTTAACAGTTATAGATTTGTATACGAGATATGCTTGGGTTATTCCTTTGAAAAACAAAACAGGATTATCAGTCAAACACGCTTTTGAAACGATTATGAAACAATCTAACCGACATCCAGAAAAACTGTGGGTAGATAAAGGAAGTGAATTTTATAACAAAAATATGAAATCTCTGAGATTTGAAATTTACAGCACGCATAATGAAGGTAAAGCTGTAGTAATAGAAAGATTTAACAGGACTCTAAAAAATAAATTATTCAAAAAGTTCACGGAATTGAAATCTCAAAAATGGCTTAAAATATTACCAGAGGTTGTAGATGAATACAATAACAAAATTCATTCATCTATAGGTGTCTCACCAACGCAAGCCTCGACTAATCCAAATATTATAAAGTCAATTAACGCGCAACATAACTACAAAAATGAAATAAAGAATTTAAATATCAAACCCAAATTTAAAGTCGGAGATCGAGTTCGTATTTTCAAATATAAAAGCAAATTCGAAAAAGGTTACGTTGGATACTGGACAAACGAAATATTTATCGTTGATAAAGTAAACACCACATCACCTCCGACATACGAATTAATCGATCAAGACTAAGAACAAATTATAGGTAGGTTTTATCAAAACAAACTTCAAAAAACCGACTTTTAAAAATGAATATCTTTCTCGATAAATATGGAACCGATACAACCACAAACTTTCAACTTATGAGATGGGCGAATGAGTTATATATCACCGTTTTATTATTGCATGAGAGATGAAATAAATGATCTGAAATATAAGAAAGGTAAATTTTACGCTATAACAAATATACATACTTCCGATCAAAAAGGAGTTCATCATTCTGCTTTCTACAAAGACTCTTCAAATGACTTATATTTTTTCGATTCTTATGGATTAGAACCCACTGAAGAGATAATGAAATTGAATAATCAACCAATCAAATGTTCTACCTTTCAAATTCAATTACCGGGACAAAAGTTTTGTGGTCAGCTTTCACTTTGGGTTTTATATCAGTTGAGTTTAGGAAAACAGTTCGAAGAAATTGTAATAAATTTAACTTAATAAAAATGGCGAACAAGTTTGGATTAGGTTCTTTATCTTTAGAAACTAAAAAACCTAACACTACAGCGTGGATAAATAAAGCGAAACCTTACTTTGTGGATCAAATCGGAGATACTCTTCAACTAATTTAACTAATTTAAAATCTCCGGAAAACGATAATGACGCTGTTCACAAGAAATATTTACGGGAACAAATAAATTCAATTGAAGTAAATAAAAACCATCTAGAAGATAAAATAAGTAATGTGAAAAGATTCTTCAAACGTCAACTGAATAATAAAAATTTTGTTAATGAAACAACAGGTAAAAAGATTAATAAGTTTTATTCAAAAAGAATTGGTCAACGTAGTGAACATGACTGAGTCACAAAATTTAATTTCATTAATATCTAAATTAGAAGATAAGATTGCAAAACAAAAATTAGACATTCAACAATTAATAGATAACATTCCAGATGAAAATGAAGATACGTTTCAACAGGAATTAAATGCTCTGAAAACTAAACTTAACAGTGAATTACAAAAAGAACTAAGAAATATTAAACAACAAATACAAAACATAGATGATAGCGAAATCAAAACCTATATTCAACAACAAATACAGAACATTGATGATAATGTTATTCAACAACAGATAACCACTATTAATAACCTAGTTTTAAAACAGGATAAAAATATAGTCGCATTAGAAAAAAAGTATCTCAAGAAAGAATCATATTATTTCAATCTTCCATTTAGAGGTTTGGGACGGAAGTATCCTTCTATTACTGATAATATTGATAAATCAAAAGACTATGAATATAAAAAATATGGATTTACAGCAAATATAAGAGTATATTCTGTTCCAGATGGTATTATTTTCCCCCAAAATCTTTTTGATATAACATTTTTTACTTTTCGAGGAAAACTTATAATTGAAATAACTTTTCCTTTTCAGATAAATATAACACTCAAAAAGTTCTTCAGTTTATCAATGGTACAAAAAATGTAGAAATTAAAGAATTTGAAATTAACGACGAAAACAACAAGGTTAATCACTCAAATGAAATTAAAACGAGTGGAAAATATATAGATACGTTTAGAATGTTAATCATACCAGATAATAAAGAAGCTAAACTTTTATTGAGTCATTTTGATATGATATTGGAGACGGAAAGTCCACCATCAGTAAGTATTATTAGAAATCCAGAAGATGTAAGCAGTTATCAGTTTTTACGAGCAACAGACTTTGAATACGTAAAACTATATTTTGTTAATAATGATATATTTACCTCAATTGATATTCATAAAAGTCAACAAAGACAAAAATTTTTGATACTACCAATAAGACATCGTGAGTTTCATGTTAGAATATCAATCTCTATTGAAAAAACAAAATTTTCAGTTCGTCTGAATAAGATTAATGATTCGAAAGAACAAATGTCGTTAGTATCAGTAAAAGTTTTTATTCAATTTGCCTCTAAACAAGAAACAGCTTTATCAGAAGTTCACTTAATTTAATTATCTAAAAATGGAACTCGAAAGTAGACAACAATATATGATAGACAAGCAAAACGAACTAAAAGAAAAACTAAAGCACTTCAACAAATGTAGAAAAACATGGAGTAGAATTGATTCTGTTTTCAAAACATTAAGTACAGTTCTAACAGTAGATTAAAGGATTTTGAGTTTGGTTCATTGCCACTCTAAAGACTTTATTGTTATTCGTTTGAGAATCTGGTAAGTTCTTGAAACCAACCATTAAATATCTTGCTGGTTTAATAGTGTTAGTGATTGGCCACGTGGTGGATTCACCATTTAAAGTCATGCTACCTACCGTATTACGATGAAGAAAAGCTATTTCAATATCTTTAGTTAATGAGTTGAATATTCTCGTTTCTACTTCAATTGATGATGTTATTACGGGTATGAAAAGTTGGAGATTCGTTATTTCTAATTTTGCATCTGAACCATTCTCTCCAAAGAATATCTTATCATCGTTGATTTCTCTTTGGAATGAATTTTATATGGTAACCCTATGGAAACTTTTCTATGTTCCAACAGACCGAATAAAGGATATAATTTCCAATTTACGTAATTACCCCACCTATTATTCTCAACAATATTATTATATTAAGTACTCGTTTTTCAAATCCATGATTAGCTGCTCGTGCTACTCTTTCTATTGTGTTTCGAGCAACAACTCTCACTCTATCTAAATCAGCATCATTTGCAACATTTCTTACCGGTTCTTTTAAAACACTTCCATCACCAACATCGGGTATCCAACTTGAGACTGAATCGAAATCTTTAGGATATACAACTGTTTTGGCATTGTGTCGAATTCCCCAGAGTGTTTAATTGTTTCTATCGGATTTGAACCAGCTTCCAAAACCATCTCGCTAAATAAAGATGGAGGGAAATTGTTTTCTACGTTGTATTAGTTTGTGGAACTTGATTCTGAGTTCCATCTTTAATTTTGAAATCGCATCTGAAATAAGCATCGGAAAGAAGCAACCAATTCGATAATGAATTTATTTCGAAGGTAATTCTACCACCATCATTCCATTGGGATTTAGAACCAACAGTCGGTGAGATGATAATATAATCCTCTTTTGTCTTTTTAAATCGGATGGTATAATCTAAAGATTGGATATAATATTTTATTTGCCATTTTTAAGGTTTAAAATTTGAGTAGAAATTGTGTTTCCAAAAACAAGAGTTATCTCCCTTCTCCATTATTTAAAACCAGATGTTATTTTTATATAAGGGTATTTTTAATATGCTTTTTTTGATGGAATGTCGGAAATTGATTGAAGTTGTTTTTGGTGTATGAAATGTAGGGTGTATAGGGTGTATGTATTTATAGGGGGTTTAGGTCTTTTTTGGTGTAAGAATTTATGAAATGTAGGATGTTTATTTAATTCCGAGAAAAGTATGTCGAAAATAAATGATTGATTTAATTCTGAGAAGGGTATGCCGAAAATAAATGATTTTTACTTAATTCTGAGAAAAGTATGTCGAAATTAAATGAATACAATTTAATTCGAGAAAGGTGTGTTGAAATTAAATAATCAATCGGATTAATTAAGACATAGTAAGTTAAAATTAATGATAATATAATTATTTTTTTCTTCTGTTAATATGGCCCCAGGACGCTTCCGTAGGAAATAATATCCCAATAAAATTATCATCGGATAAAGGAGTTACATTCAACAGTCAAGTTAATTTAAATGTGGAAAAATCTCAAAATAATTCACTAGGGTTTGATAAACCAATATATACGGAATCAACATTAGCACCACACAAGGCTAATATCGAGAATGATATTGACGTCATTAATATTCACTGTAATTTGATATATAGACACAGCTTTATGGAACAACAATCACTGGTTAAAGTTTTATGCAACGTTTCGACGTGTTTCCCCCGTCGTCCTCAGGCACATAATGAGAAGAAGTGATGGGCAAACTATATATATTAAGAACACACATTTATTTGATAAACGGTGGATTTTTCAATAAATACAGACGTCAGATTATTTACAGCATACCAACATTCACTGTACCGATTGGATATAGAATTATAGAGAAACTATTTCAAACAACATATTTGACACTTATGATTAAAGATATAACTCTGGAAATCAAAGATGGTTAAAAATAGGTTTATTGATTTTTGAAACAAGGAAATTGTAATTCAACTTCATTTAAAAACAAAAAAGTAAATTTATTGATCATTAGTAATTAAAGACTCTTCATTCTCTTCTTGAATAGTAAGGCAATCAAAATCATCAAATTCATAGTTTGCATTCAAACTCAATTCATCTTTATTACCATAAGGATACACGCGGTGAAGATTCAGATAGAGTGGAAGGGGAAGACGGGTCTGAAAGTGAAAAGAGAAGGGGAGTGCCCTCTCTACGAAAGAAAGTGGTCTCTTATGAGAGAATTGAGTCGACTGAAACAATTTCATTCATTCCCTTTATTTCATTCTATGTATTAGAAAACCGCGCTTTCACCACTCATAAAAACAATGTTATTCCTTTAACAATGGTTCGTTTACTACGGCATTCCGAGCGCGACAATCTTTAAAAAACTCCCAAGTTAATTTGATATTTTCTTCATTGCCGGTGAACCGCTTCACACGTTTCTGATCGGGAGAAACATTGCCTGAATTTGGGTCTTACCAACACCTATTTCATCGACAATTTGTCGACCATTTTTCCCGGCTTTCGCCAAGTTGATGACCTTGACCCTTTTATTTAATGCTAAAACTTTACGTGTAGGCTTCGACATTTTGAAAATGAATGGCTCATGCTTAACTTTTTATATCCATAATAGACTGACATTAATCATTAACAAGCTATAAAATTAATCCTTAGTCCGATTAGCGATAATCTCGATAAATCTCACCGATATGTGAAACAACGTGATGTTTAATCAAGGGAGTTAACTAACATTGAAAACTCGTAGGGGGGATTGTATTGTGGTCGCATATTGAAGGTGATTGCTTAATAAAGGTGGTCGCGTGAGCAGCATAGTTGGGGAGCATAATGAAAATAACTTGAGGTTAGAAAGGGAATGTACAGCGGATGTAACAGGAGGAAACTGTATATGCTAGCGTGGAAATGTGGGGATCAAATTATGCAAAAAGTAACTGGGTTTGGGGATATATAAAGTAAGATGAAAGTTATGATGAACAATGCAAAAATAAATATCTAGGTGATAAATAATGCAAAAAAATGATGTGAAAAATTGTAACAAGTAAAACAAAAACTAACGCAATTGACACGAACCGGTTTTCGAAGTATTATCCTTTTTCAAGTGTCGGGGAATACGCATTTTCGATGAACAGTTTTTGAGTTATTGCCCTTGACTCTAAAAACGCGTCAAAAGTTGTTTTTTGCCCTTGATTAGAGTTGTGTGATTTAATTGTTTGTCGTATTTGGGTTATTGATATTGATTTTGAAAAATTTTGTGGAATTACTCAGCATAGATATATATGTAATTGAATTCAAAGTAATCAAATTTCTTCAATATGAATAAAATCGTACTTAAGTCACTAAAGACTGTTTTATCATTTCTGACAGCTGAAAGTGGGCGTATGAGGGCTTGCCTCGCAAGCTATCTTATATGTTGTAAATGATTTTCTATATGCCGAAACTCTTCCTCCTTTAATAAATTGTCTGATAAAATATCTTATAAAAAGGTCTAAAGGTATGTATGTGAGTAAACGTTTTCTATATTCTGATTTTCAGTATGTTTCGGAGGCATTCTTGTGCTTTCGTAATATTCTTCTTCAATCATTTCTTTATCGTAATGATAGAAATAATACCAACCCTTTAAAAATAATGAAGGAGCTGTTAGATTATTGGACATATTCTGTTTTACGACTTCTTCCATAACGTTGTTATATTTTACTTAACAAGTTCCAAGACACAGGGTATCACTTTTTGCATATGGTTTCCATTCGTGTCTTAAATATTCCCAATTATCTTCAGTGTATTTAGCAATGTCTACATCCATGATCTTTCTCAAATTCATTGTAGATCTTCACTAGTGAATGGATTGGATAAAGGTATAGGCAGAGTGCCTCTCTATGTTCACTGCGTTTTTAAGTACAATCCAGTTATCAAAACCACTACCATTATGAGAAATCAATGTTAATCTTTTTTCTATCACATTGGCCTAAATATTGAAACATTTGATATCTATACAATCTTTACCCACAAATATTTTACAATATTCATGAGTTCATTATAAACATTTTCTTGAATGTTGTCAGTAGGGTTTCTCTCTAACACTTTTATTAGTTTTTCTAAATTAACTAAATACATGAGTAAGTAATTGCTTTGCGCGTTTCGGTTTCAGTTAAAGTTTCTTCTTAGACCGAAATGTGAGTTGTATATATATAAAACCCAATCTAATGGATCGTATACATCTCTGGGATATAAATGTCTATATTGAATTCTTTAATTCTAGCAGCTGTCATTACTCCTTTTCTATTTGCCTTTGAAAAACTGTTGATAAAACCTTGAAATTTAGTTGCTAAATCTTTGTTCAAAACAAGATTTACACATTTGATAAAACAGTTACCATCTGTTGGTATGTACCAATTTTCACCTACACATTCATTTATCTTTTTAAGTAGATCAGTTCCTCTACCAGCTCTCGATCTTTTGATTGGTTTGAAATTGTCTTTACGTTAAATTATTTTTCCTTTAAAATACCAATTCGTAGCATCAGAATTGATGTCCGTATTTGAAAAGATATTGCGAAAAGTTTTTGCATTGAAACCAACAAGTGCCATATCTTGTCTGTATTCTCCACCCTGAAATATCTTTCCATCTATTTCAATTTGACATATAGCCATTGTCCCATTAATGGGACATGTTTTTGATTGCACTACAGCATAATGTGCTTGTTCCAAGCCCATCCCTAGCCATATGATATTTTAAGTCTATAAACAGAGTTTGATTGCGACTAGTCCGATCGAGTCTACTTTTAGCAGTTATCTCCCTTGAACCCGCCAAAGCCTTGAAAATGTCAAAAATAATGTCAAGTTAGTAATTTTCACATTTTAAGGTCTTTATTCATGAAATAACTTTAGAAATACTATAAAATATAACAATGAGATTGGTTGTGACAAAGATTTGACACGTTTCTAGCGTTTCCGTTGCAGTTGTGAGCAAATTAAAAAGTGTCCCATAAGTGACCCAATGGCTGCGGATGGGGACATTTTTTTTCATACTGCTAATTATTGCAACTGTCAAATTTACGTTGATTTCCATATTTCTACTCCTTGTACACCTAGGTTCAGTATGTGATGTATTCGAATACTCACACGATTTTGAAATTGGATTAGAAATTTATTGAATTATTGCCATTTTTTAGAACTTTAAACGTTCATGAAGCTGTTGCCCTTATCGAAGATGACACCTATAACATACGAAGTGCAGACATTTTCCTTCAACCTCCTGGAGATGGAACCAATTCCGACGAAGATAGCGGAGATGAAGACCACAGTGGTGACATTGACAACTTATCTAGGCAACAGTTGATATTGTTGATATTGAATTACTCTCTGGAGAAGCTGTGACTATTAGATCAGATGGAAACATTCCTGAAGATGAGAGCATTGAAACAGTGAGTGGTCATTGAATTTCGTTTCATTTAAAACATGGTTCTTGGATGATTGTTGATATGTCATCAGTTGAGATATTCTGTTTTATACACTTACATTTTGGTTGGATATAAATTTAACCTGTTTGAACTTATCCAAGTGAGTATATTTTGTGTTCATTTATTCTCTACTTTTATGCATAAACAAATATTTATATATAATGAAAAAATTCTTATGGATTACAATTACTAACTTTATTTGAGCGACGTTTCCACCAGTGTTTTCTGGTCTTTATCAAGCAATGAAATTATTATCAATGCTGGATAAAGACCCGAAAAAGAATTTTTTCATTATATCCAACACCTTTACTAAATGCCATTCAAAGATCAAATATTTATATGATTATATTTTTCAGGTTCAGGAAGATGGTTTAATCCCTGGTGTATCCGAATCAGATGTCACAGTAGAATCAAATAATTCACTGAATAACCGTTTTTGTAAATCGTCCTTCATACCAAGTGCCCCAGCACAATGGCGGAAAGTCGACATACCCAAGAATTTAGGTTGTCAAAGATTGTGGGAAGAGCCAACACCTGAATTTCTGCTTGAAGCCCATTCGCCTTCAACTATATTTGAATGGTTTTTTGATGAAGATATTGTCAGTTTGATAGTGACAGAAACCAATAAATATGCAAGTGAAAAGGGAGATCATCATTTCAAAACTACACCTGATGAAATCCATTTATTTGTGGCAATACTATATTTGTCTGGATATGCAACACTACCAAGAAGAAATATGTATTGGGAACTAAAACCTGATGTTCACAATGAGGCTGTCAGTGAAGCCATGTCTAGAAATCAGTTCAATAACATAATGAAATACCTATACTTGGCTGATAATAATGCTTTGCCCCTAATGATAAATTTGCCAAAGTTCGAAAACTATTTGACCTTGTCAATGAAAGATATGTAAGATATTACCCTATGGAGCAAAACTTATCAGTTGACGAAAGCATGGTTCCTTACTTCGGAAGGCACGGCGCAAAACAGTGCATTAGGAATAAACCTATACGCTTTGGTTTCAAAACATGGTCTTTAGCTACAACTTCCGGATATGTTGTCCAATTAGATCCGTATCAAGGAGCTTGCGCAAAATATGACAAATCCTATGGGCTAGGTTATTCTGTATTTACTAATTTGCTTAGCTGTTTACCTGAAAACTTACCTCGCTCTAATCGTCTACAGAAATGTCCTATCATGGATTCTAAGGATCTTGGTAAATTGCCCAGAGGGACTTCTGATTATCGATTTGACCATATACACAACATCCTTGTTATTAGTTGGAATGATAACAGTGTTGTTACACTAGGCTCTAATTCGACAGGTGTTTTACCCGTAGAAAATGCAAAACGTTTCTCTTCAAGGGAAAAATCTCATATTCAGGTTGACCAGCCAAATCTTATCAGGGTTTATAATGCAACAATGGGAGTGGTGGATCGTATGGATCAGAATATTGGATGTTATCGAATTGATATGCGAACAAAAAATGGTGGTGGCCCCTCTTTGCATACTTGTTAGACGTTATGGCACAAAATGCCTGGCTTATTTTTCGCAAAAATCAACCTGGTATAGACCAACTCGCCATCAAGCGGGAAATAGTAGATGTTTACATAAGACGTTATAAATCTGTACGTAATATTGGTAGACCACTTACAATTACATCACATTCCAGAAGAACTGACAAAAAAGTTCCAGCCGTTATTAGAACAGATGGAATAAACCATTACATAGCTTTTTCAGGTGAATCAAGAAGACGATGTGCTGAATGTGGAAAGAAGACTATGATGATATGCTGTAAATGTAATGTTCCACTTCATCTAAACTGTAGTCTTATGTTTCATCGCTAGATATTATTCAATGTATTTTGATGATCTATATGTTAAAAATGTATTTTTAATTATTTTGTATTATAATGAATTAATTTCAAATTAAAATTAACTAAATTAGTTTAGTTTCATCAAGCGTTTGATTTTTTCACCATCATTATGTTATCTGAGAATTAAAAAACCCGTGACCAGCCGTAGCCAATGGCCCATTTATGGGACACTTCATAAAAACAGGTACATTAACTCAAATTGAACAATAAAACCACTCTTTAGTGTTATTTCAATCT